CAATCCACGATTAAGCCAGCTGCGGGTAGTGTTCTCGAATGCATTCAACCAAGCGACGGGTGTTTCATTGAATTATGTGATTTTGTGACCTATAAAAGAGTGCTGTATTTGGCTAGTAAATGAGGCACCGAAAACGAGCTTGACTTCTTAATCCGTAAGTACATGGTTTTGGATTTAGTCTTGTTGTAGTTGTTGCTCGATACAAACATTGCTGTTTTTTCTTTCATTTTGAACTTTGATGTCAAGCTATTTGTTAAATTTATATTTCAATGATAGAAAAATCGTATCAAGATTAAAACAAATGATAAAATTTGAAGCAAACACGGTTTAAATTAAATTTCGTACATCAAGTTATTCAGGGGCTAGGTCGAACCGGCCTGTCCAACGGTTTATGTCCACACATTTACCTGACCATGCATGTGTTGACGGTATATCGATCCATTTCGTTGCGACTCATATTTTGAAGCAAATGATGCTGCAGCCTATTTCGTCGGTCACTCTGCAAAAACATTCGTGCGCTAGCTGCAACACACGACTAAAAAATGGACTATTGCGACTGCAGACTGTAGTACCATAATGGCTCTAGAAGGAGGAGTCACCACTACGGATAAGACGATACAAATGAGTTATGAACAGCAAGTGTTGACATAGAAAAACGGATGCGAATTCGGAATCAGTCAGTGATCGATCCCATCTCGTGGAGAATGAAACAGAAATAATCACTATACCCGCGGCAATCCGGTCAAGCACGAGGACATGATCAAATCGAGACCACTCACTTTGACAAGATCTCGAGAAGCTTTTGCGCGACAAACTGTGCACGTGGCCGTGAGAAAAGTGCCATGAGCTTCCACTAACTTCTCTTCCGGGATCCCGGCCACTGGGAAACAGAGCAGACGGGGAAATATCATAAATAACTTCGGATCTCACCACCACAATATTATTGGTGTCAAACCGTGCAAAACGGTCCTAAGTGAAATGGGTTGGGTCGTGTTTCGCTAACGACAGTTAGACAATATATACTGACGGATCAGTGTCACCCCGCAAGTTCAGTGCGAACGTTTATTGGAAGCACCAGAGAAGTACGTAACTGATGGAGAAGCATGCTATATACAGGGTTACTCATAGCCTCGGTGTTTTTCCGAAGTGGATAATAAGAAAAAATCGATAGAACGGATAGACTAATCCTATTGAAACAATTCGTCTAAAATCTTGGATTCTGTCAATCCAGTAACATCGAGGAGACAATTTAACCACAGCGGCGACTGGTCCAAATCCCTTTTTCGTTGATTCTGCGGGATTCCCCAGGGAAAATACGATTTTCTCTGACACTGTTTCAACATATTCCCACAGTGCTGCAGAGAAAACGATGCAAACAACGGTCGAATTTGCAAATTTTACGATGGAGACAACCATATACAGACGTCCTTCGGACTTCACCTTCACGCATGATTCTCAGCTCATCGATTCAACCATAAACTCGGAAGCACTAGACTCGAGTTTCGCTCTTATTGGAGCTCATCAGTAGTGCATATCCACCGTCCCTTCTGGGATTTGAACTTCGGAACCATCGCATGGAAACCAATTATCCCACAGCACTACTCACAAGTAACTGATTCAAATTCGACATATACAGACGACTTTTATGGGATAGACAAAAACTACACCAACACTAAAGATGCCTAATATTAATGAATTCCAAGTGAACTAGTCAAGTGCGTAGCGAAAGTGTCCCCTTAAATAAAGGATCATGTAAAACGCTAACAACACACAATACTATACGATGACATAGAAAACGAAACGCAGCTTTGAAAGAGGCATAGCCTGGTCGGGCAGTGCAAAACAAGCAGGAAATTCACATTCACAATAACAACAGACTGTGGATATCGGGATTTTTCACATGTAAATCTGAAGCGAGCGCGGAGCACCGTGATTGCTCACCATCCACTTACTGCGCTCAAGACTGTCAATATTTTGCGTATAGACGCGCAATAGTCGCGACTGTTCGTGTAACAGTCGAATAAAATAGTGCGCCACATTCGGTCGATACCGGCCACTGGGATACAACTCTTTGGCCAAAACGTAAAATGGTTTCGGATCAGAGTAGAAGTACTCCAAATCGAACACTGCTTCCGGCCAGGGCAGATCGAAACGAGCCAAGTTGTCGTATAGACCGGAACCGGGAGTTCTTTACAAACATGGGGTAAATAAACAACACGAATTGTGCGGACAATTCAGTGAATATACCACACACATAATAGGGTGAACATAAAATTCGTGAAGTACGAAGCATGGTGTGAAACAAAACGGTAAAAAAGTAGACGACTGCGTTCATACGAAACACGTACTGCCCGAGATATGTTTGAAGACAGATAACAACAACTCTAAATTGGACAATTCAGACCGAGGTAACCTACGCACTGGATTTCTATTGTATTGTATTGTAATAACTTCTGTAGGCATAAAGCCTGCATTTCAGTTAAAAATATACAGGTTGAAGGGAGGGAGAAAATAAAAATAGTAATAAAAAAGATACTTAAATCCAAAGACTGTTAACAAAGTCTGTGAAGACCTGTTTTTTGTTAACTAGAATACATGCTAATGAGGGCACTGCAGAGTTACGATATATGTTGATTCGAGAGGGAACACAACGATATTGGGATCTAGTAGAAGGATGGGAAAAACGGTAAAAAAAGATCTGTGTGTAGCGGACGTGTGGTATCGATTTTATGTGCAAACTTTTCACATGCATTCAAATGACGTTCGAATAGGTTAGTTACCAACACCTCCGGCGGAATCGAGGAGACACGGCTAATGATGATCAATCCACGTCGAAGCAGTTAAAGAACTTTCTTCAGGAGAGTGGAAAAAATAACAGGTGAACAATAAGGTAAAATAGGGAAAACACACTGGTACACAAATTTGGAAATAATTACTAGTTGAATACGAAACTGACGACGTTTACGGATATGAAAAAAAGTCGTCGAAGCTTATTGACGATGTGTTGAATGTGAGAGGTCCAATGAAGATTGGGATTAATAAAAAGAAACCAGGTATTTATTACAGTTTACCCGGGATACTGGTTTAGAGCCAATCGATACCAGTTCAGATGGGAACGAAGAGCATGATAATGTTAAGAGACATTCGAAACATTTGGAGAGATTACGACATAGGCCAGATGTGTTAGAAAACTGTTGAACATTATCCGAGTTGTCAGAAAATTGCGAAATATCAGAAGAATCGGAGGTCTGACACAAAACCACAGCTTATTTGAAGAGAGAAGTAGGGGCGCTAGGACAAGTCACTAATATACGTAGAAAATAAGTATGGGGAAAGAACTGCACCTTGAAGTACCCCAGAAATGTTCAACACTGGTTTGGATTTCCTCTGACCTAACCTGGTACAGTGAGTTCTCCCGGAGGAGTAATCGGCAAGCCAAGCGAATAACTGTCTAGGACAACCAAAGGTCTCCAGTTTACGAAGAACGGAAGGGAACGAGGAATAGAATCAAAAGTAGATGAGTAGACGAGAAACACAACGAACAGATTTCGCAGTCATCCAAGGATTTGGTAATTTTCTGTAAATAAAGGAAACCGCATCTAGCGTGCATCTGTTTGTACTCATGCAATACAACAATCAGCCACAGTCGATCGCTTACATACGATATGTTCGAATTTTCACACGTTTCAATACGAATCAAACCGTCAGAGTGCGCCTGACAGTGTCTTTTCTCTCACACACACCCACAAACATCGATCAGGTTCCCTTATCCTAATGGTCACAGGTTCCGAGACCCTAAGCTTGGTATTAGCGCAAAGGACCAATAGATGTCCAGTGGTAGATGCGTGTTCCGTGTTCTTCATTAGGGGTGGTGGTGGTGATCGATGATAACATAGTGTAGTCGATTGCGATTATGGTATACGAGGAGTGTGCCGGTGACTGAGGTCAAAACAATGCATATGCAGCAAATTTACGATAGCCAAAGTAGCCATTCAATGTCCTATGAGGTGCTATCACCATGATGTCCGGAATATGTCAAGTAGACGGCAGCACAGAGACATGGACAGAAAAGAAAGGTACGTTTGATTAATAACTTGCTTAGAATGGACATGATCGAAGCTTGACGGTCGTGGCCAAGTGCTTAGGTTAACAAATTGTGACCTGGAAGTCCCGGATTCGAATCGCTCCACCGCCGCCCGTCTTCCCTATATCTGTATTTTCCCCAGGCAGCCTTTGTATGGCCGCGGCTCCCCGTCCTCAATCTTTACTGTACATTTGTATATTCAATAAACAAAAAACGGAAGTAAAAAACATTTACTTATGTAATCCACATCAATCTCAAGAAGCCAGTAGATTGCAAAATGATCAAAGTAAGCATTGTGTTTTATTATTTGAACTTGGTGTAAATCACCCAAAGAGTGTAATAACTGGATTTCGTTCACGAACCAGTCAACCGGTGCCAGAAAGAGGAGACTGGACTAAAAAGAGAGAACTATTGCCATCCGCAAAATTAAGAAATGCACAGAACACTATAAACAAAAAGGAATTCAGGAATGCCACCCAGTATTCTGTAGATAAGACCCGCTTTTGCATGAGGATTGCTAAGCCTCAGTATGGTAGGGAGTAGGTGTCTACGGTTGCGGCTGGTCACCCTGCCCTTGCACCCCACAAAATGCTCACTTACGACCAAGCACCTCAAACAGCCTCTGTTGAGGAAGCCCTACTCACTCCTTTTCGTGAGGAAGGTGGTTCTCCAACAAAGTGAGAGGATGAAAAACAAATCTGGGGCTTAAAGGGATACGTGAACTACTGGCAGTTCATCTGGAGAAGTTGGCTAAAAAACCCGATTCGGAACCAGCCAAGAAAATGCAAGCAAGCCACACCCACCCACATCTTCCTGGCAATGGTCACCGACTGGGTTGCGCATCGAGGTTTATTGGGCAGCTTGAACGTTTGACCTCGTCCAAAGGGTGAATGATTCAATGAACTAGACATCGGCCCCNCTGAACTCCTCAAGATAATTCACCTGCATTGGACTGGACAATCTGGCAGTATTTTGGTCACATACAAATGGAACATATTTTTCTTTTGATAAAGATTATTGTACCATGATTTGTTTGGCACAGTCTGGCGTCAGACGTATGTGAAATACAAACACAAATAATCACACACACACACACATACATACATACATACACAGAAAGTAGAAAAGATAACCTATCAGAAAGCTGGGAAACCATCAAAGTTAACATGAGAATTAAAGTAACACCTTGCTCAACATACCGGAAATCGGGGATACCACTGGCTGTGCTAATCCCAGCCCCGGCAAGAACCACAATTCGTTTCACATCGTTCTGTTTGATATAGTCTGCCACTTTGCTTATAGTCTGATCCGGTGAATCAGCTGTGTCTGACTCCGAGCCCATGAAGCGGTAGGACGCTTTAAACTGACAAAACGTAGACCTGTGAGGAAATTAATGCATTGGGGGGGGGACGCCGTTTGGTCATTCGATTACGAAAAGAACGATACGACCCAGCGGAATCACATGCAAGTCCCTAATGCTGTAGTGGATAGCATCAAATTACAAGTTTCGTTCAAAATGAACGGCCTGACAATAAAGAGATTTTGATTTATGTGTAGTCACGTATGTAGTAAGTAGTTTAGACGATGGGGACGTTTAGAAGTATGTCGTTCATACTTTACTGATGTAGTTTGTACTATTCAAAAGGATAACTCTGGCACCTTTATCTGACCTCGAAAGATTGATATCTCAGTTCCTTCAATCGTTCCCAGCTCCTGGAAATGTCTGAAATAGAACTATGTCGTAAACAGGAGCGACTGTGCATCCACTTGCAGTCCTGGACCTCATGAGCTCTTTATTTTTACCTTTGCACTGTTCTCAACAGTTCAACCTACCTTCTACTCCTTCATCCAAATAGGCAACCACCAACAATAACCAAAACCACCGCGCGAAAGTGTATATTTAATGGTTATGTAAATTGAGCGGAACTTACGTGTGCCAACCTATCCCCAGAAAAGAGCTCAATGTCAGTGTTAGTCCGGCAAAACAAAGGCATCTTTCTGGATATCATCTACGGCGAAGTCGAATACAAATGGAGAGGTAGAGCAACCCTGTTGTAGTCCAATGTTGACGGAAAACGAGATTAAAAGTTTACTATAAGCTGTAACCGTATCCTAAACTTGACGGTAGATGACTTTCAAGATTAAAACGTACCTCTCGACAAACGGTTCTGCAAGGCAGATTGATCAATGGAGTTGAATGCCTCTCTGATGTTCTGAAACACGACAATGGTTTGCAACTTATACGTGGTGGTGGCGATTGTGCTCCAACAGCTAATGGGGAGATTCGATCTACGCAACCACGACTTGCACAGAACCCGGTATATTCTTCCTGGATTTATCCTTCGCGAATCATCTATCCTCGCTTTTAATTAGTTGAAATGATATCGGAAACCGATTAAACTGTTTAAGCAAACAACTGCCCAATCTTGGATCTTTTAAAATACACCTTAATGCTATGTTTACAGTTTATATGGAGCAAGCCTTAGTCATAGACTCCTTTCACAAACAGCCGTGTGAAAATGGGTCAATATTCTAAATCTGACTTTCGGTTTGATGAGCTATGGGCAGTTGAAAAATAAGAGAGAGTTAGAAAACCCTGAATTCCGTGTATTCCGGTATTTAACATGCTAGGCACTATGATGACTCGAGTGCAAGATAAACCGAGTTTAGGCGGACGCTATGGACAGGCGAGCCGCGTGTAAGGACCTCATGTGTAAGACCGAATAGGATAGGAAACGGAGAACACTATTCACATTTACTTACTTGTCGGATTAGACCCGATTGGAGACTCGGGATGATGATGAGGATGATGTTCAAGCGAGCTTCCTACACCAAACCGGCGATCGAGTAGTAGGACAATAGTTCACAACACTGAAAATTAATCAACAGTAACAAGAACACTGAAAACAGTTTACATTTTACTAGCATTTAACTGTTAAGCACCCAAATTGGGTAAATTTGGTGACCCCAGCTTTCATCTTATATTCGGCACCTATAATGGTGAATCTGGCAGTCATTTGCAGCTCAGGCTGAAAACCCAACGGGCAATGCAACTTATGGTGGACTATAAGACGGAAGAAATCTATAGGTTCAACCACCTCAGCACGTGACAGCCCATTGACATTCAATGGAAGCCATGGGCAACAAACAAGCCAAGAAGTGACGTTTAAGGTACTAGTCAGCAATCTAAGTGGGATCTGCGAAACCCGTGTCAAATGTTCAAATTGTGTGTGTATGTGCTGCTCCTAAAGCGAAATTTTGCTCTCCATATTTCGCCAATTGTAAGACACTGAGCAGGCTCCGGTGAACTGATAAGTTTAATGTTGAGGGCCAAACATTAGATCGAATCTCCCCCTCCCCGATGATCAGCATTGAGCATTGATTAGAAATGTTCGTAACGCGATATTCGCGCACATAGTAGCTCAGTTGCTCTCAAAAGAACGAATTTCAGGCGATCAGTCGAAGAGCCCGTGTTGGAAAACATCTACTTCCTTTGTGAGGTGCCGGATCACCTGCGGGTTCCATTCTTTTTCATTACGCATCAGTGTGATGAACAGCAGACGGAGTGGAACCCAACAGTCACAAGGACCTGCTATTCAGTGATGGCAACCGGCANTTGGAGTGGTGAACCACATAAGCCCCGCCAGGTCAGGCGTAGTATAGAACCGGATGACAGCAAAGCTGCGTACCACCAAAGTTGGACAGTCCAAAGTTCAGTTCAGTTTGTACAACCGTTAGCCATAAACTTTCGTGAAACCGGTTTTAGTTGCTGTCTTCTGGCCGCCCATTTGGATGAACAGTAGGAGAATGACAAGAAATCTGAAGGTAGAGTCAAACATAAAACGGAGAGTTTCAGTAGATTAAGGTTGCAAAGAAATTGAGAAGATACAGGAAAGCCATAGTTGACAACACTCAGCCATATCACTTAGTGTTTCTAACCATCGGTTAAGATCATCCCGAGGTCCCCATCTAGGGAGCCTAACGGGACCTATTTGACTCAGACTCCTGGTTAGGGTTTCCATATCCTCGTGCAGGTCCTAGTTTGACCACTCTTGGCTTTCTTCCACCCATTACCTGCCTCGGCGAACATCGCTCACCGTGGCAATCTATCTGGCGACATACGTCACACGTGCCCCCCAAAACCTAATCCATGGAGGTCGAATACTTGCTCCAATAGACGGCAGAAACAACCTGAAACTCTACGCCTAACCTCAGCAGTGCTCGTCCGGCTACCCCACGAGATCATCACCATCATCATTGTGTAACGCCGCGAAGACAGTGATGTTCGAACACCGACAGTCTACCTTTATCCTGTTTTCTTAATGGCCAAGTTTCTGCGCCGTATAGCAGAAGTGGCCGAATTGCCGCAGCACACACGCAACCCTTCAAAGATAGTTGGATATAGCGATGGCGTCACAGATGGGTGGTGGTGGCCTGGTGGTAACGTCACCAAATTATCACCCCGGGAAGGTGTTCGAATCCCACCAACAACGCCTAACTCCCCCCCCTTGTGTGTTGAATGGCAGTCATTTGATTGGCCGCTTCCCCCTTACTGAGAATTGTAACTTTGTGTATTCAATAAAAAAGAAGTAAAATGAAAAGAAAGTTGACAAATGCCAACCGAGCCTTTCTGTACGCGAGCTGACACTTCATCCGTGATGCGTTCACCGGGTGAGATATAGCTGCCCAAGTATCAAGGCTTATACACCTGCTCTATTTCTTCCCCAGGCCGTGTGAAGTTAGGGACTGGACCGACCCAATCTTAGAGCAATATTTTACACAGTGAAGGTGCAAAACGCATACCAAATCTGGTTACATTAGCACTCAAACAATCCAGAAAAGCTTGCAACTTACCTGGATATTCACTCAGTAGCAGAATGTCGTCTGCATACTCCAGATCAAGTGTGCCACCGGGGAATAAGTCAATACCACTATCTTTGCAGCAGGATAGGGATGTTTCAATAATTAAATTTGTGACAAAATTAAATAGAAACGGAAAGAGAGGGCAACCCTAACGAACACCACTTTCCGTGGTGAAGTCGGGCGAATAAGTGCCGTAGGTTCCGGATCGGCTTCGGTTAGTGGTATAAAGGGACTGTAATACTGAAATAAACTTCTCGGGCACACCCATCAGAGAAAGGCAGCGCCAGAGTTTAGAGCGGTCGACTGAGTCGAAAGCCGCTTTCAGGTCGAGGAAGACAGAGATCGTTGGTCTACGAAAAGAATGTTGGTGCTCGAGAACTTGGTGAAGAGTGAAGGTGTGGTCGATACATAACCTAGGTGGTGGTGGCGCAGTGGTTCAGTCGCTGTCACCGGCATGCTTTGGACCCTATGGTCCGAGGTTCGAGGTAGGTAGGCAGCTGTGCTGTCGTCCGGTTCAATACCACACCTAACCTATCGGGGCCTTATGTGGTTCGCCACTCCAAGTTCTGGGGGTTAGGTTGCCGGTTAACATCATTGAACAGCAGGTCTTCGTGACTCTGGAGCTTTCCCCGTCTGCTGTTCATCACATGGAAAAGTGTAATAAGAAAACCTGGTTCTCACGTGTGTACTCTTCTGGTGCGGCAGACCATAGACGGAGTAAGATGCCAGGGCAATGTTGATCGAGCTAACTCCTCTGTGGTTTTCACAAGAGGATCTGTCACCTTCCTTGTAAATCGGTATGATCACCGATTTATACCATTCAGCCGGAACCTGTTCCCTCTACCACACTGAGTACAGGAGTTTCGTTGACTCCAAGAATGACATTGAGACTCCATCTTTAAACGCTGATGGGAACAGTTCATTCTGATTTCGGAGGCCTTGTGCCTTTTGAGATACCTTATTTCCCTGGAAACCTCCATTTCAGATGGAAGACTGGCACAAACGGGGAGCATTTGCCCAGTCGAGGTGGGGGGTGGTAGGTCAGATGTCGATGGGGGCCAGTTGAACTGAACCTCGAAGTGTTCAGCCCATCGATCAAGTCAGCGTTGCTGATCGTGAATTAGTGTGCCATTGGATTCCTTAATTACCTCACGCCTATTTCCCTGGAGCCCGTATTCTTAATTAGACGGAAAGGATTGCGACCATTACCAATAGCCGCAGCTTTCTCCATCTCTAAAGCACCACGGTGACAGTGACTTAACCACTGCGCCACTAGCACCACCTTTTGATCATTTGTCAACGCTGCAGTCGCCTCTCATTGCCCCTCGAGTGCGGTCATTTTTATAACTGTGAACGCGATTACGCTATCAGCATTTGTTGTCAAACGAAGTTCGGAAAACTATGTTTCTAAGCGAGCGGCTGAAAAATATGGTTAGCATTTTGCTGCATGACAACAAAAATTACAGTGGCATCCCCAGT